AATTGTTTATCTAATGATTGAAAATTGAAATTTATAAATATATGTTTTTATTATTTTTGAATATTTGATACTGCTATATCTCGAAAAATACTGGTCTGATTCAAAATCATAAAGACACTTTTTTATCACTTTATCTAGCTTAATATGATCCCACAGTCCGTGTCCGCGAATTTTGTAACACCCTGTATACCTAGTTATATATTTTTAAATAATCTTAGATAAAATAAATCAATTTTGTTGTTAATCGGTTTAAAATACAAAAAAGTGTAAAGAAACAAAAAGTGAAGACAATACAATGGGTGGTATTAATAAAAACAGAGTACATGCTCCTAGCAGGTGCTCAACAAAAAGCGGAGTATATGCTAAAAACTTGAGCACATACTGAATTTTCATATTAATAAAATTTAGAAGGGAAATAGAGCACCTGCTTACGCTTTTTAAGTACCTACTCCGATAAACTCACAGCAGCAGACGTCATATGCGAGTTCCGACAGGTTGAATATTAGAAAGTTATAGAGCGGCCGTGTTGCTATAGTGGATGTAAGTCTCTACATATATTAAATAAGAACTATGGATACTGAAGAAGACACAGTTAGTAGTGGGGAAACATGTGAGAAAATGATACAATTTGTTAGTGTTATTGAAAAATTTCCTATACTTCTGGAAAAATCAAACATACCGGATGTTAAAAGGAAAAAAGCGAATGCAATTTATGAAATAAAAGGTAAACTAGCAGTTGAATTTGGAATAGAGTTGAACGACACGCAAATATGGAAGAAACTAAATAATCTCAAGACTAGAATAAAAAGGAAGACTGACAAAAAACAAACAGGAAATCGGAAGATTGAATTAAAAGATTGGGAAATAAGATTCTTTAAATATATAGAAGGGGAGATAAATCCTTCAATTTGTAAAGTAAAAGGTAAGTCTAGTATACGTACTTAAAATTTGTAGCAGCTTCTTTAATTTTGTATAGGGTGATTACTTTTTAATAGAAGGACTTAATAGAAAATGTTAATACTTACCAGTTAAAAATTTCACACAACTACGAGTGTTAATTTGTTAAAGTTGCGGTATTAAATAATAGACTGCCCCCTACAAAAATACTTTCTTAAGTCTTGTACAAACGTCCACGTTTTTTTAATTTTTAAATAAAAAAATAAAAGTAAGTAACTAAAAACAAATCTTTTCAGGGGCAATTTCTGCTGGTGTACGTTCATGTGGAATGGAGGTCGCTGAAATCAGTCTTGAACAGAATGAAATTCAGCTAAAAGAACCTGGGTCCTTTATAACATCCGGTACTGGATCTGTTAAGAGTGCAGATTCCGACTATCCTGTGCCTGGAACTTCGAAGACCTCTTCTGTGATGAGTAAAGGTGTAAATGAGGGGCCACTAAAGAACCAAAAACATAAGAAAAAATTACCAGAAACTGAAGAAACCAAAAACCTTACTACGCAAGAACTTCAACGTTTAGTTCTTTTGGAACAGTTGCAAGTCTTTAGGCTTGCAAAGGAACTGCTATTACAGAAAAAACAGCAAAAGGATATGGAACAGGTCAACCCTAATACTCAAGGAGATGCGACTGATGCAATACTGCTTAACATTCCGGACAATGAAAACATCGATGAAAACTTCCCTATTTTTATAAATTTATAGAACTGATATTAAATACTCATTAATTTAACTGGGTTTTTTATTTAACTGAAATATAGTAAGTACTATGCTACAGTTTATGAATGAAGAACATTCTATACTTGATAAAAAGATATATGTAATACAGTCTAAATGCAAACAGCATCTTACTTAGTATTAACCGTGAATTATTCTTGCTATTGCATCTCTTCTCAGTTGTCCTCTCTGACGCACAACTGCCTCACCATAATCTACATTGATCTGTAAATCATCACCATTATTGTTGGCATCTTCAAAAATTTCAAAATCTTCATCGTTGAGGTGTTTTGCAATATTATGCAAAATAAAGCAGCTTAATACAAGAGACGGAACTTTTCCTGTATTTACTCGAATTTTGTTTTGCAATATAGGAAAGCGCTGTTTAACTTGGCCAAAACACCTTTCTATTATAACACGTTCTCGAGTAAAACATCTATTATATGTAATTTGCTCAGGAGTGACAGGGTCTCTGTATGGAGTCATAAGCCACGGGGTAAGTCCATAACCTGAATCTCCAAGAAGAAGTGCACTAGCTGTATTCCACCGCATGATATTAAAAATGGCAGAATTTCTCCATATGCGTGAGTCATGAACGGCTCCTGGCCAAGACGCATCGACACTTGTAAACTCCTCTCGGACGTTGCACGTTGCCTGAACGTTTAGACTGCAGAACCCCTTTCTGTTGACATACTCATCTCCGTGTACAGCCGGTTTAATGATAGGAATGTGAGTGCAGTCTATCGCACCGATAGCAGAAGGAAAATTATACTTTTCTTGCCATTTATGTTTCTCTTGCTCTAACGCTTCAGTAGTTGACGGAAACTGTATCCATATATTTGATTTTCGTATTATAGCATCTATTACTGATGAAACTGTTAATGATACCGTTGATTGGTGCACCCCAATGTCCTCACCTACGCCACTTTGAAATCCCGGGTCGCCGACATAACGAAGAAAAATTCTCATCTTCTCAGTGGTCGTTAGAGCACCACCTCTGTTTTCAAACTCATCTCCCAGGAAATGTTGAGCAAGCCATTCTACGTTATTTCTGTTAAATCGATACAAAATTCGATAGTCGGTATCCCGAGAGTCTCTTCGAACCTTATAATACTTTCTTGCACGAGCAATAGGCATAAATTCGGCCATTATTTCCGAAAGCACAGTTATTACTGATGCTGAGCTTCCTACCAAGGTACCTTAAATTATTGTGAGTAGTTGCTTCATTTGTGTAGCATATACTTACTTTTATTCATACCGAAACTTAAGTAGGCACTCAGTGTTAAGTAGATACTTACAAAACTANAGGTGATACGCAACTCCATTAGAGCAGTAGTACAATGTGTTTAAGTATGTTTAACAGCAGACGGTGGAAATTTTGAACAATTGTTTTAACTCGTTTGTCGTAATTGTTTATCTAATGATTGAAAATTGAAATTTATAAATATATGTTTTTATTATTTTTGAATATTTGATACTGCTATATCTCGAAAAATACTGGTTTGATTCAAAATCATAAAGACACTTTTTTCTCACTTTATCTAGCTTAATATGATCCCACAGTCCGTGTCCGCGAATTTTGTAACACCCTGTATAATTAGTTATATATTTTTAAATAATCTTAGATAAAATAAATCAATTTTGTTGTTAATCGGTTTAAAATACAAAAAAGTGTAAAGAAACAAACAGTGAAGACAATACAATGGCGCATATGATGACCTATTTTATTTGTAATGATATATGGGTGATATATTTTTTTGGGCAAATAATGATAGATAATACCCACACCTCCGCCACTGGTAAGTTTCTAAAGCTGGTAATTTTTTGTTTCATACCTACTGTCATACTATGCACACCGAATTTGGTTAAATTATCTAAGAGGTTTAGGAATTAAAAATTAAAAACTGATTTATTTTTTAATTTTTAACACGCTGTAGTTGGACAATGGCTGTTCCAAGACCCCACATTTACATAATAAAAAAACCCTTATTTTTGCTCACAGAATACATACCTGGATTTTTTACCTCTACTTAAGAAACATCCTGTATATTGGCTACATACGCCTATTAGTCTAAATTATACCACGTTCATACCCAGTAAACAGTTAGCAATAAATGATTATCCAATATAATTAATACAAAAACACAAGATATTTTAAGAATTTATTCTTTTGTATTTATTTGAATTTACATAATAATAAATATCTGGAAAACCACTTCATCAAATTTATTCAAATTTGGTACACATTTTTTTAAATAATTCTTCTAGTTCTGTATGCATACAGTCCAAATTCAAAAACCAGTGGCGGAGAAACAAGGATATTGTTTCCTTATTTAAAGTAAAACTTCTACGCCATTGAATTTATTGGTAATATGAATATATTTTATAACGATCTGAAACATTTCGGATGGAAAAACATTCTTTTATTTTTGTCGAAAAGTGAATGGTTTACGAGTTATGAAATATATTATCCAAGTAAACATCTTGCCACCTAGACTAAATTCCGTTCTTATTTTAAATTTTTTGGACAATAGCCTCTTCCAGTTAATGGAGGACATACCTTCAGACCAACGAATCGGGATCTGGTTTGAAATGGACGGGGCGCTAGCACATTCTGGCCTGGTAGTTCGTGAACAGCTGACGAACAACTACCAAAACCGATGGACTGGTCCGAATGGCCCCATACCTTAGTCACCTAGATCACCTGATATAAATATTTTAGATTATTTGATTTGGGGGTAACCTAAAAAAATACGTTTATGTCGTTCCTATAACAGATAGATACCAGCTAGTGAAAAGGCTAAATGAGGCCTGCACTAATTTGAAGCAACATGCAGTTTTAATCTGTGAATTCTATAACCAAAAGATGCCAAAAGTGCATTGAGTTTCGAGGTGGACACTTCGAGCAATTGATTTAATTTATGTTTTTCATATAACTTTACTTGTTGTTCGTGTTACTTGAAAGTTGAGCTCGATATGTTTGTTATTATAGTGAAAAATGTGTATCAAATTTGGATAAATTGTGGTTTTCCAGATATTTAAAAAAAAAATGTTTTATTTTTGATAATTTCAACGCCCTGTATCTCATAAACGGCGGCTTTCTGCGTCTATGTTCATAGAGCAAAGTAATGTTAATTTTTGTTGTTTAGTGCTTTCCCGAAGTTTGTCTATTAAAATCTGGACCACCCTGTATATGGAGAGCTAATAATAACGCATATGTTTTCTGAAAGTTGATTTGTATGTACCTTTTATCTTTGATGGAATTCTCGAGAACTTATTCAAACACTGTGTAAACATCTTTCAGAGAAATCCAGTAAAAGCCGCATTGCCTCGAATGCGTTTCATTTTACTTATTGGTTTTATTACCAGCATTTTCAATTACCACTACACGGTCCTGTAACTTTTCGCTTAGCAAGTTATTAACGATTTGTTAAAAATAGCTTTATTTGAACTAATTCAACTATAAATTATAGTAACTAACACCGTAAATAAACTGGGTACATGATCCCAGCGCAAAATTATTATCAGTAAACTGTAGGACTGCGCAGATAAATTATTATTACGAGGTTTTGTAATCCACATGTAACATATATTTATAAATGCTAAGGAAAACGGTAACACTAATATTTATAAATTATAAATACCTCCTGAGTTCGTTACAAATTTTGCGTGAGAGAAAGTTTGTTTGTCTAGCTTAGTATTAATTCTTCGAGCTTTTTCAATGTCAAAGACATTTACATCATTAAACCGCAAAACATATGCATTTATTTACATATTTTTCATATTACGGTTCGAGGTGCCAGTTTTCTTATTAACATTTTCTGATGAATGGGAAAATATAAATTTTCATCGCTATACATTGTTTAAATTAAAAGTAGGAAGATATGAAAATGACTTTACAATATTAAGAGTATGTAAATAGCTGCTTCCAAAATAATAGATTAGAGTTACAATGAACTGATACTCTTCCAGTCCAATCCATGCAATTCCAAGAAATAGCGCGACGAAAAAATTTTGCAATTTTTAGTTTTTTTCCACGGACTTTAAACGTTATTTACGGTAAAAATGTGAGAAAACTATTTTTCGTCCTTTTTAATCATGATTATGAGGTGTTTAAGCTCAAAAAACGTGACCCTTTATTTTTTTTCAAAAGTTTCACGATTCGCTAGATAGAGATGAAACTTCACAGGGTTCTTCTTGGTATATCGACCTGTAAAAGTCATGCTTAACATTAATCATTTCGTGAATATTTCTAATTTAGTTGTAAATTTTATAAAAAACCATAAATTACCCTTTTATTCATGTTTTTTAAAATTCGTGTAAAAGATGAAAAAAAAAAAATCCGAAAAGTTGCGGCAGCATGTGACAGGAAATTTATTTCAGTTTTCGTAACTTTTTAATTCTCTGTACGAGTATTTGTCACCGAGATATTGATGAGTGAAGGCAAAAGGATCATTTTCCATTAAAATTCCGATATTTTGAGGAAAAATAGTCGTATCGTAATTAAAAAAAGGAAATTGGAGCTGAATAAACAAGCTATCTGGTCCATGCAATGACATAGCTGAAAAAAATTTTTCCCAGTCCGTGGTCTCAGAAAAAAAAATTAAGAAACTTTTTTGTCGTGCTATTTCTTAGAATTGCATGATAACCGTAGCTCCTAAAAAATTTCGTCCGAAAGATATAAAAACTAGATTCTTAGAGCTACAAAATGCTTATTTTTAATTCCCGATACGACCATTTTTCACCTAAATACAGTCTGTCATGAAAATGACTTTACAATATTAAGAGTATGTAAATAGCTGCTTCCAAAATAATAGATTAGAGTTACAATGAACTGATACTCTTCCAGTCCAATCCATGCAATTCCAAGAAATAGCGCGACGAAAAAATTTTGCAATTTTTAGTTTTTTTCCACGGACTTTAAACGTTATTTACGGTAAAAATGTGAGAAAACTATTTTTCGTCCTTTTTAATCATGATTATGAGGTGTTTAAGCTCAAAAAACGTGACCCTTTATTTTTTTTCAAAAGTTTCACGATTCGC